GGCACCACGCACGACTGGGGCGCCTGACTCGAGTCACCCACGAGACAGCTGGCCTTCTCGCGCATGCGCTCAGGGCCGCACAGCGAGATCCCATCTCCGAAGGATTCCAGACGCAGGACACGACCTCGGCGCCACGGCCGCCACCAAGCAGGGCCTGGACGAATTACTTTGCCGAAACGTGGCTCCTCAGAACCAACGGCGACATCCAATGCGCTGCCAGGCAAGCCGGCCGCCTCTGCAACTACCTCTGCGGGGGCTACCATGCCCGGCTGAGGCGAGTCGAGGCTGCGCAGATGGTGCGACCACGAAGAAGAAGAAGCCCAAGGGGACGCGGCGCGGAAATGTCGGCGCTGGAAAAGACAGTAGAGCGCCATCAAAACCATGACCACAACAGAACAGCAATGGCAGGATCTCCCGCTACGCACCAGGCGCTGGCCTGCTGGAAGAAGACCCAGCCCCCCCCCCAATCCACAGGCTGCCTTGGCGAACGATGAGCTCCCATAGCCCGCCCCGCGACCAGCCAAGGAGGACCCAAACGAATCGTCCGATGGGGAGTACACCGATGAACGCGGAGCCAGATGAGCGCATGCGGCGACAGACGGGGCTTGTTCCAACCAAGCTCACTTAGCGCTGGCCTGGGCAGTTTTCCGGGTGTACCACAGACCCGACCACCGGCCGAACCTCTCTGCCCGCGTCCACGGGCTGGCCCAGTCCGCCCAACAGGCAGAAAACGCTGCCCATGCTCAGTATGGTAGCCACAGACGGGCTTGAGGACCCCGACGGGCTTGAAGACCTGCTAAAGGGAAACAACCACAACGCGCGGGGCCGAAAGCGGACTTGGGGAAGGAAATTCACTGGGCGCCCCCAGCTAAATCCGATCTATTCAAAGTCCCAAGCATATGGAAAGCAAATTGGGAGACAATGTACCAGCGAAGGACGAATCAATCGGATTGCCGAAATGTTCAACCGACATGCTGACGAAATCGCCACCGCAAGAGCGAGGCTGCACAGCACCCCACAAAGTGTGATGGACGTCGCCAAATAGCGATGCAAACTCGCCGCTGTCCTACACACCGCGGCCGATGTCATCTATGATCTGCGACACCGGACGCTGCCGTACCCTCGCAGGAGAACGGGGAACTCCAGTTTGGAGCTATCGAAGATGGCACCAATGACGCTTACCATTGGCCAAAGGGGGCACGGCTCAGGCGCACAAGGAGGACCACCTCCCATGGGCGGGCCACCAAGTCCCCGAACATGTTGACGGACTCGACGACCCTTGGCCCACACCCACAGAAGAATTCGAAGGCGAGAACCTCGACCCGCAAGAGCTCGGTGCTTCAATCAACAGGCGAAGGCGAGAACCTCGAGCGCAAGAACCTCGAAGGCGAGAACCTCGACCCACAAAGAAGATAGAGAAATGTCCTATCACGCACACCCCCGTGACCAAAGAACACTGCTTTGGACCACCCTGTCCAGGAACCGAACTCTATGCAGCGAAGTTGTTTCCTGCCCTGTACTGAAACTTGCTCAGGAGAGCGGATCCGGGTGTATACGGGATCCTGGCGCATACATGTTGCGCTGTTTCCCTAAGAAACTGATTCAAAAAAATACACCACACCACCCCGACGTCGTCACCGACCCTCAGAAAGTCCTGCACAACCCGCCACTGGTAATGCATATGTTCCAGATTCCGGCCCGTTGCACCGCCTAGCGCACAGCCCGCTAACGACCAGGTGAGTCAGAACGCGGTGGCCGCCCATCGCGCCCAAGGCAGCCAGCACTTTCAATCGGCCAGCCAGGGTTCCGACAAAGGCGGCCGCCAGCCGCGGAGCGACGGCCACCAGGCCAGCGGGACCGCCCAACGCACGGACCGCAGTCAAGCCCTCATGCAACACTTCACGGCGGCGAACAGCCATCAACAAAGGAACCGCAAAAACACGCTCGCCGCCAGCGCGCAGGCGCTCCAGCACCGCGCAAACCAGCTTGCGCCCTCCTTCCACTAACTACAGGAACAATCAGCCCCGCTGATCGACAAGTTCCACCGAGCGCACAAAACCTGGAGAGGCTTTCTGGCCCGCTGCCGCTTTAGGGGCAGTCCTCCCTGGCAACCTCAAAACCCTTTTCGACGCTCAACGGGCGGCACACCAGTGCTAGCCCCACCTCCATTCCCACGGGCCACGAGCACAAATGCCACCTGTACCCTCGTCCGCTATTCTCGGGCCGCCGCGGCAGACGCCGCAAGGCGCCGCCTTTGAATATCCGAAAGAGCGTGTTCTACCGCTGCTGGCGGAAAACCGGGGGGGGTCACTACCGGTTCGAACCCCTCCCCCCCCCCCCCTCCGGAAAACTGGGGGGGGTCACTACCGGTTCGAACCCCTCCCCCCCCCCCCCGCTCATCATGAAAAGGGGGGGGGGGTCACTACCGGTTCGAACCCCCCCCCCCCCCCCCCTCGAAAACCGAGTGGGGGTGCGGACAGTGGTGGGGACGGTGTTGGTGGGGACAGTGGTGAGGGGACAGCGGGACAGTGGTGGGGACAGTGGGGGGACAGTGGGACAGCGGTGGGGACGGTAGTGGTGGGGACAGTGGTGGGGACAATGGTGGGAACAGGGGGGACAGTGGACAGTGGTGGGAACGGTGGTGGTGGGGACAGTGGTGTGGGGACAGTGGGAATGAGGTGGAAACACTGGGACAGTGGAGGGTACAATGGTGGTGGGGACACTGGTAAAGGCGTCGGCGAGGACGGCGGTGGGACAATGGGACAGAGGTACAGTGGGGACAGTGGTGGGGACAGTGGGGACAGTGGTGGGAACAGTGGGACAGCTCAGTGGGACAGCGGAGGAGTCAGTGGGACAGTGGGGACAGTGGGGATAGGCAGTGGTTGGGTCCGTGGAGACAGTGGGGAGAGTGGAACCGTGGTGGGAACAGTTGTGGGAACAGTGGGGACAGTGCGACAGTGGTGGGGGCACTGGTGGGGACAATAGGGACGGTGGTGGAACCAGCGGGGGCAGTGGTGGTGAGGACAGTGGTGCTGGGAACAACAGTGGGGGATGTCATGCGAGCGGTGGTAGGGACCGGGAGGTTGTGATGCGAGCGGTGGTAGGGACCGGGAGTCGTTTGCTGGCGGTGCGTGGGGGGGGGGTCGAACCGGTAGTGACCCCCTCCGGTTTTCGAGGGGGGGGGGGGGGGGTTCCAACCGGTAGGGCCCGGTTTTCCGGATCCGGAGGGGGGGGGGGGGGGGAAGTTCGAACCGGTAGTGACCCCCCCCGGCTTTCGAGGGGGAGGGGGGGGGGGGAGGGGTTAGGGGAGGGGGGGGTTTGCCGGGAGGAGGGGGGGGGGGGGGGGGAGGGGTTCCAGCAGGGGGGGGGGGGGGGGGGATTTTCGGAGGGGGGGGGGGGAGACCCCCGGGTTCCGGAGGAAAAGGTTGGCAATTTTCCACAGTAAAGCGGCGGTGGATCACGTTCTCTCGAATATCCGAAATGCTGCATCGCGGCAGCCGAAGTGCGTGTTGAGGCAACGATTCTGCCACGGGGGCCCAGAGCGGCATGTGCACCGCCGCCCGCCCTTCTTGTCCAGAGAGGGTCCCGAGGACCGCGCGAAGTGGGGAGGTCAGGTCACCCCACACCCCTGCTGCATACGCGCGACACCACCTGCCCTAGGAGGGTGGCCCGCGCGGCGCTCGCAGCCGCGAGACCTGACGAACTTTGCCCCACCCACTTTTTTTTTTTTTTTTTTTTTTTTTTTCTCTCTCTCTCTCTCTCTCACTTAGATCCCAATGTTTGCATGATTCGCAATATCGCCCGTGACTGGCCCCCTTCCGCCCCCTGGTCACGCCCGATATCGCCAGGGGATGAAAAGACGGTCCCTTGGCACCTGACCCACTTCAGGTCCTCCGCCCAAAAATCTACACCTAGAGTCACGCCCAGGCCGGGGGAGGGGTCCTCCTCCTCCTCCTCCTCCTCCTCCTCCTCCTCCTCCCACTCTTCCTTTTCATCCTCCTTTTCCTCCTCTTCCTCCTCCTCCTCCATCATTCACTTTTCTTTTACAGTATATCTCTATCAATAAGTATAAACATATAACAAAAAGTGTGTTCTCTGTCGCACCCCGAGGCCTGTTTTGAGGGCGGGCCAGGCGTTTCGCCTGAGACTTCTTCACCGCTTATAACCCTGAAGCTTGAAAAAAGGCAGCTTCACGGATTGAGGGCGGGTGGTTTTCCAAATGTGGCTCTCGCTTTAGCGCCACACAAACTCGTTTTGAAAACATACACGAGCTTAACGGATCGAGGGCGGGTGGTGTTCAGAATATGGTTCTCGCCGTAGCGCCGCGCACAGTCGTTAAAAGCATGTGCAAGAGCTTAACGGATTGACGGTGGGTGGTTTTCAAAATGTTGCTGTGGCCTGAGCGCCGCGCACATTCTTTATAAACAAGCTGACTGAGTTTCACGGATTCCCCTGATCAGCGTACCCGAAATGGCGTTTTGAAAAAAATCAGGAATGTGAGGGTGCCAGAATTACGTTGATTCGCGGTTTTGAAGTCCCAGAACTGGCGCTCTGGCACGATTCAGGATCGTCAGGACGCAACAGTAGTTGATATGTGGCGTTGGAGTCCCGAGAAAATGCTTTGGCATTCTTCAGCGTCTTGAAACGGTTGTCTTCCAACGAAGCAGTTCCTTTTAGTAAAAATGAACCGTTCTATGGGGCCTACGAGGAGGAAGCTTGGAGGGAGTGCTTACTCCAACATCGTTGATGGCTCTTGGGTTTACACTGGTCCTCCTCCTCGTCACCCTCATCGTTCCTCCTCCTCCATTCTCCTCCACCCTCATCGTTCACCCCCTTCATTCATCCTCTTCGTTCCTCCTCCTCCTCCTCCTCACCCTCATCGTTCACCCTCTTCGTTCATCCTCCTCCATTCTCCTCCATCCTCCATCCTCCTCCTCCTCCTCCTCCTCCTCCTCCTCTTCCTCCTCCCTTCCGCCGCGGGATGAGGGGGCCGAGGCCGCCTCTCGGACGGCGGCGGGATCGTAGCGCAGCAGCACAAGGTTGTGCTGGGGGTGCACGAACAGGCAGACCTGGGGAGACGCGGGAGGGACGAAAACCAATTGGGAAGAGGACGAATCGGGGGGAGAATCGGGGAACCGGCGGGTCTGGGAGCCCGCGGGTCTGGAGGAGGCACCGCACCGGGCGCCACAGCCGCTCCCGGAGCGCTCCGGAGAGCCTCCCGGGACGCTGTGGGAGCAAAGTGTCCTTGTCCCGACCCGGGGAGACGAGGCGACGCGACGATGCGAGCGCAGGAGTCGTGCGCGCTCTGCTGGCCGACCATGCCGTCAGAGAACGGGAGCCCGACGAGGGCCGATGCCCCAGACTTCTGGCAGATCGACCCTTCCATCGCGCGGGAGCTTCCTTACATTCGCATTGGCAATGGATGGACTAATCTATGTGCGCAAGCTGTGAAATCCGATGTCAGCCCAGACACCCACTGAGCAAGTTGGAGGGTTCACTCGAGATTGCAAATGCAGATTCCGCACAGCCTCACGCGCGCGCTCAACCTGCGCGCCAATTGAGGAGCGCAAGCCAGCCCTGGCGCGCCAGCCCTCTCTCGCATTCGCATTGGCATTGTATGGAGTCGAATGTTCGCTAACCTAACGGGCCAAAATCGTGCAGAATATCTGGAAGGGGGTTCAGAATGTGCACACGGTTGAGCCCGCAGAGCGGGAGTCATGGCGGACCCACAGGGGGAAGCTTGCACGTAGACTTTGCAACCAGTGGGTGCTAGGGATACGGCCTCGACGAGGGTCGGTAGCAATCGTTGCAATGTTTCTTTGGGCGTATTTCCGCCCCTTGGGGATTAGGCGATGTTGGAGGCCAGCTAAGGACCTTTGGGGGTCCATGCGGAAAGACATGCGTGAGGGGTGTGCCGAATTGAGGCTCCAAGGAGCCGTCCGTCTCGGGGGCCAACTGAGCGCCTAACATTCACGAAGTGAGTGAAAGGTGTGCTGAATTGAGGTTCCCATCGAAATCGAAGGGCAAATCACGGGTAGTTGTACATCTTCCAGGAGCCTCAAGTGGAGTCACCAATATTCTTTATATATATATATATATGCCCCCAGAGACTCAGAGCGCGAACCATTCGTTTTTTATGTCGAAGTGAAGATGGAGGTGAGGAAGGCGTCTGCGAAGCATCATCGGCTGGCGGAACGGACGATGCCCCTCTTAAGAATGTCTTATGCTCGCAGCTAACATGATCCTCCATTTCATCATCATCATCATCATCAGCATCATCATCATCAGCATCATCATCATCATTATCATCATCACCATCATCATCAGCATCATCAGCATCAGCATCATCATCATCATCAGCAGCATCATCATGATCAGTATCATTATCATCATCAGCAGCATCATCAGCAGCATCAGCATCAGCAGCATCAGCAGCATCAGCATCGTCTGCAGCATCAGCATCAGCATCAGCATCAGCGTCAGCAACAGCCTCATCAGCATCATCACTATGATCAGCATCATCATCGCCCTCCTCATCCTCATCACCACCATCACTACCATCACCATCACAATCACCATCACCAGCATTATCATCAGCATCAGCAGCATCATCAACGTCATCATCATCATCACCATCATCATCGTCGTCATCATCAGCATCGTCAGCAACAGCATCACCATCATCATTGTCATCGTCATCAGCATCATCAGCATCATCAGCATCATCATCGATCCTTGGATGTTACAGCACGGCCAGGTCCGACGGGGGCCCCCCCGAATGCAATCGCTTTGTTCAGTCCGCCGCCCCATACTGCATCATCGCTGGCACTTGTTTGTGTGCTCGCGGGGGCTGAGAAAATCGTAGGAAGGGGTCGTTTCCCTGAGCTGCCGCGTGAACCTCGCTTGGAGGACAAACAATGAAGGGTCGCTGCAAAGCAACACTCAAAAGATCACGCCCCCACCGAAGCTCCGTCAATGCATCCCGCCACCGTGCATGGGTCGTAAATCAGAGGCGGAATGGCTGCCTCTCGGGCTTTTTTTCCCGTATCGCTGGGTAGAGGGCTCAAAGCCGCAAAAAGCAATCGATCTGCATAGCTGGAAAGGGCTTGACAGCTCTAGCAGCTAGCAGTAGCAACTGCTGCTTTGTGCATCGTCTGTCGCCCTATAATGACAACCTACAGTCAGGAAGCGAAACCCTACATACACTGCGATATAGAAACGCCCGTTGCGTTGACAGCATTGAAAGTCAACTCGTTTCACTCCGCGTGCAGGCGTGTGTCGCATGACGTCTTCGCCGTGCTGCTCACCAAAGCAAAGCCAGCGGCACAAGCGCAGTTGCCACGGCCCGAGCGTGGTGGACCGCTGTGGACGTCTCCTTTTCTGTGGGTGCACCGAGGGTGGTGAGGGGCGGCAGTTTCGCGTCGTCGCAGGGCTCCCAGAGCGTCTGGCCCGTGTTCCATGGCGAGACCATCGCGTTGACATCCTGGCAGCTGATGCCCAGGCAGGCGTACGTGGACTCCACAGCGCGCTTGACCTCCTCGTAGCCATCAGGCACGTGCGGGCCTGCCTCACCGAGTGAAAGCGTGTCCATGTTGCGCACTATGATGGCCGCCGTCTCGGTCGAGCACTCGGCGATGGCGGGCAGCACCGCCATGGCGAACGCCCAGCCCTCCGCGACCTCCACGAAGCCGTCCGCACCGTGGTGCTCGCCAGACTCCTTCGGGTCCACCTCGTAGGCCTCGCGCAGCATGCCCTGGATGACTGGCACCTGCATCTGAGATATCGACTGCGACACGAGCCCCCCCAGCATCTCGCAGTTGCCCTGCTGGGCCTCCGCCTGCATCTGCGAGAAGAGCTCCAGAAGGCGGGAGTTCACTTTGCTGGCGCCCGCCTCCGTAGGCGCAGCGGCCTCAACATCGAACTGCGGCGCTCGCTTTTCGGCGAGTCTGATGGGCCCCACGGACTGGGAGCATGCGTATAGACTCCAGGCGGTGTCGACGTCGTGGGGAGCACCACTGCTGTCGTCCGTCTGCCCGGCGAGGCAGCATGCCACCGAGTCCTGCAGTGCGGTGATCGACGCCAGCAGGACGCCCTGGAGGACGACGCCCTTGATCGCGAGCTCCTGCCGCATCTTCTCGCTCAAGTCGAACTTGCCGGTGCCAGAGAAGGCATGCTGCACGAACTCGTGCACGAAGTCAGCGGATCCGTGATAGCGAATCGACACGTTGAGAAGCTCACGGCCAGGCGTCAGCGGCAGCAGGATGCTTCGAAGGGACAGGCCTCCGGTCAGCGACTCCAAGTACGCGTCCTGCGCGGCCGTCCAATTTCTCGGTTCAGCTGCAAGCGCCTCGTCGACCTTCTCAATGGCTGGCCCCACTGCAAGGGCCGCTGAGATGTCCGAGACGGGCTGGTAACCTGCCACGCGCGGGAAGCTTGTGGATCCTCCCGTCGAGCCCCATGCCAACACCGAAGCTGCGAGTAGAGCGCGCCGCAACACCATGGCTCCGGCCACGCGCGAGAGTGGGGGGGAGCGACAGCGCTCCGTCCAACCGAAACGCTGTCTTGAGCCAAAATGGCTGCGGAGGATTGCTCTATGGTTCTTTTGAGATGCCTTTCGGGGGCGTCTCGGAGGCTCTTTGGGAGCCTGTTGTGGGGGCCTGCTGGCGTCTCGGATGCCCTGTGGGGGGCCGCTTGATCCGTCCTGTGGCCATCTTGAGCCGTCGTGGGTTCCCCTGGGGTCCTTTGTGACCGCCTTGGAGCATCTCGGGAGCGTCTTGAGCCGCCTTGGCCTGTTCGAAACCTGGAAACGCAAGAACGCGGCGACAGCGACAACGATGACGGTGGAAACGACAACGACGACGGTGACGGCGACGACCACAATTGCGACGGCGACGGCGCCAGTGACGACGCCTACGGCGTTGACGGTGACTGCGACAACGACGGCGGCGGCCCCCACTGGCGACCGCGTCCGTGGTCACGATCTGCGCGAACGTGAGCTCTACGACCGCCAGGGGCTGTGGCACCTGAGCGAGGGAAGCGATCGTCGCTGTTCGTCGACGTCGTCATCGAGGACTTCGAGGCTCGACGCTTCAAAGACTTCGACCATAGATGCTTCTAGGCGTGTTTTGCCCTCTAGCGACCTCCAACCTCGGGAAAAGAACGCCTCCCCTCGTCGACGCCGTCGTCGTCGTTGTGGTTGCTGTCGTCGTCGGCGTCGTTGTTGCTGTCGTCGGCGTCGTCGTCGCCGCAGCCGCCGCCGTCGTCAGTTCCACCCACAAAACATATCACAGTGATGTTAGGCTGTTTGGGGGCCATCCTACGGCCATGTCCGACGCAGCTGAGGCCGAAAAGGGAAACGAACTGCTTGTCAACGATTCGAGACCACATTGATATCGTTGGACCTCATGATGTATGTTAACGTCACTGCCATGTTCTGCGTTGGCGAGGTTGAACACCCAAGGGGCTCCCTTGAACGTTCCAAGACCGCGCTGGAGCAACATAAAAGATGCTACCAACCTAAGAGACCATCCAGAGCCTCAAACAAAAAACACTGGTTGATGGCTTGCGATTTGATAGTTTAACGGTCTGGGGAGGGTGGTTTTGGGATGCGACGAAATCAAGACCGAGCAAAGACACACAGGGATATATTTATTATGTCTGAGATGTGGCGGTCATGGAGGATGTATCGAACACCGCGGCCGTTCCGGACGGAACGCTCTCAAGAAATGTATCCTAGAGCTCGGCCTGCCCCATAGCTGCCCCTGGGCGCCCTCGCTCCCTCCTGACCGCCAACAAAAAAGAGGCCAGCGCAGCTGATGACCAGCAGTTTCCCAAGAAATCGTCCAGAAAATGATAATCTGCGGAAGCTCTGCGCAGTATGAGCAGCAATCAGGACTTCATTGCATAGCCGCGCGGGAATAAAAGTTCAGGCGGGGGGAGGATAGGACGCTGGTGGCGCCCTCCGCGCGGTGCGTATGACGGGCACCCAAGAGCGGGGAGAGCCTGAGGCCCACAGCAAAACAGGCAACATGCTACAGCGATCCCTGGTTTATTCGCTCTCGGTCCATTGCCTCATGCTTCAGCTTACGAGATCGAAAACACGCCTCGACACGGCCAAACATGCAGATGATGCAAATGCGTCGCGACAAGCCAATGCAAGATCGCACTGGACCCCACGGCAATGTGCATGGATGGCCTTAAACTGGGCCCAAGGCGGCCTTCGAGGCAGAGTGCCCCCCCCTGGCTCTGAGGCATCGGGGTCAGGCCGGGCCAGGCCTCGAAGGAGCGCCCGGTCTGGTCACTCCTGACACGCGAGACACGCGGGCCTCTCCAAGGCCTCCATGGTCAGCGTTTGGCGGTCAGCGTTTGGCGTTTGGCTTCCCAAACGTCAGCGTTCGGCTTCCGAGGACCGCAAAGAAAAACTAGGGGTTGAGTCCTGGGTTTGGACCAGTACTTGGACATCTTTAGAAGCGTGGTGAGGCAAGATGCGTACTTCCACCACCTGCAGAAACGTATTAGTTTTCGCCCGTGGGGAACTCTCCAGGAAGCGCCCCATACACCATGAGATCGATCGAACGCGATATGGTTGACGAATCCCCATCCTGCTCTGGCAGAGTATGGCCAACACCAGACCTTGCGACAAGCCCCGTCTGTGCTGACATAGCCCTGCACCAAACTGGGCGTGCCATATTCAATGTACCATCGGCGGCTTTGGCGCCGCACCGTCAGTCCTGAAACAAAATCCGCGGAAGCGAGCGGGGAAGCCACGCACATCCACCCTGCCCATGGCCTGATCTTGCTCCATAGCCCGCACCTCGCAGCCTCATCCGATGCGGCATGAGCTGCAGTGTTCACATGCGCGCGCAAGACAGCACGAGGAGCGCGCGCACCCCCCACTTGCATAACCGACGTGGCGCCCAGCCCCCCCCCCCCCCCCCACCCCCCCCCCCCCCCCCCCCCACACACACACACACACACACACACACAACACACACACACACACACACACACACACACACACACACACACACACACACACACACACACACACACACACACACACACACACACACACACACACACACACACACACACACACACACACACACACCACACACACACACACACACACACACACACACACACACACACACACACACACACACACACACACACACACACACACACACACACACACACACACACACACACACACACACACACACACACACACACACACACACACACACACACACACACACACACACACACACACCACACACACACACACACACACACACACACACACACACACACACACACACACACACACACACACACACACACACACACACACACACACACACACACACACACACACACACACACACACCGCCCCCCACCCAGCCCTCACCCCACGCCCGCCCCCTCCCGACGATGACGCGCAACAGTCCGGCCTCACGGATGCGGTGCTGCAAAACTTTCGGGGTCCCCCTTGGGCTCTTCGGGGCCCCCCTCTCCATGGACTCATCGGGCTTCTCGGGGCAACCGCGCAATAATCTGGCGATGGGGCAGAGCCTGTGCCCGCGAGGCCCCTCGGAACCCTTGCCTTCAGAAGCAGGGGACGGTCGGGCGACCCAGGCTTCCCGCGCCCTTCTGACCGCCGCCGCCGCGGCGAGGTCTCCGATGCCGACTGGAGCATCCACGCGGAGGTCGAGCTCGACGCCCCGATCAGCCACGAGCGCAGTTCCGGCGTAAACCGCCAGCCTAGAGCACGAAGTGAAAGTAACACGGCACCCGCGGCGTCGGCCACTCTGCCCCAAGGTCACTCCGCCGCAAGAATGCGAAATACCCGACGCTTCCAGTCGCGCTGCACAGCGTCGCGCGAGACGCCGCGACCTCGCAAGGACAGCGCCCGCGACAACGCAAGCGGCGCGCAGCATACAATTTGGGGACACTCGCACATGGACCCCTGAAGACACGACGTGAGCCAGGAAGATGTCGCAGCCCCTGGGGCGCACCAGGCCCCCGGGTGACCCGTCTGATCCGCGCAACCACTGGTGCCGGGGGAGCGAGGGAGGTCGCGAAGCCCGCCCCGGCGCCGCATAGCTGACGATTGCGCCCGCTTGAAAAAAACGCGAAACCAAAGCGCCTGCGTCGCGGGCCATGCGCATCCTATGCACCCCGCGACTTGCGCCGGCCATCAGCGCCCGTGACTTGCGGAACCTGGCGGGGCGCCCTGGGCGCATTTCGACGTCGAGCACTTGGGGCGTCGACGCGACAAGCGAAACCGAGATGACCGCTACACGTAGCCAAGAGCGCGTTTCTTTATGTTCGGCGATGACGGGCGTCATGGGGGGGGGGGAGGGCGGGGGGGGGGTATGACGTGACGCCCCCCCCCGCCGTGTGGCTCCGGCACCACAGCCGCGCCCGCGCGCACGACGCGACGAGCGACGAGCGACGAGCGACGAGCGACGACGACGACGACGACGAGAGCAGCATGTAAGTGGCGATCTGCCCATTGCGCCTGTGTACACCACAACGCTCGCGTGCACCACACCACGCTCGCGTGCACCACACCGCTCGGGAGCACTACAGCGCCGGTGTACATTCTCCGCAGCAGCCATGTGCGACACAACGCCTGTGTACACCACAGTGCTTGCGTGCACCACAGCGCCTGTGCACGCCACAGCGCCTGTCTACACCACAGCATCCGCGTGCAACGCAGCGCTGGTGTACACCACAGTGCCTGCGTGCATAGGACAGGTAGAAGGAGCATGTACGTCACGCTCTGCTGCGGACAACTAAACGCCACGCCAGGAAAGTTCTGAGAATCGAATGCGACGTTTTTCCCTCCTCCCTCCTCCTCCACCTCCTCCTCCTCCTCCTCCTCCTCTTCCTCCTCCACCTCCTCCTCCTCCTCCTCCTCCTTTTCCTCCGTCTTACCCCCTGTCGTGCGGTTTGGCGTTACAACGCACTAGCGCGTCTCAGCGTGCACCGCAGAATGGTCGATTGAATCGGTCCACTTGGTTATCGGACGGCCAGTTTAGCTGGAGCCTCCTGGACGCAAGTGGGAGTTAGGGTGATGCGGGCGGACTCGGGGGGACTCGTAGATTCCAGCGGCGCTCCTTTGTCCATGAGGATTTGTTTTCCATTGATTTATCTGGAATCCACACGCGCTCAATCTTGTCACAAATATTCCTTCTGAAACTCTATACACAACAATGGTGCTGTGTTGCACACCGCTGATGTGGTGCACACAGGAGCCGTGGCGTACACATGCACTGCAGTGCACGCAGGCACTGTGGTGTACACTGGTGCTGTGTTGCGCACGGCTGATGTGGTGTACGGAGGCGCTGTGGTGTACACAGGAGCTGCTGTGCCCGCAGGCACGGTGGCACAAACTGACGCTGTGTTGCACGCGGTTGCTGTGGTGTACATCGGCGGTGTGGTGTACACAGGCGCTGTGGTGCACGCGGGCACTGTGATGTACACAGGAGTTGTTGTGCATATCGCCACCTACATGTTCGTGCTACCCGTTCTCCGTCATTCCTAAGCATTCCCAGACGCCGCCGGCGCGAAACGCGACGTCATCGACCCCCTCCCCCCCCAGATGATTGCCGTCATCGGCCCGGACTTAAAAACAGGCTCCAGCCGCGTCCGCGCGCACGACGACGATGAGCGACGAGCGACGAACCACGAGCGACGACGACGGACGACGACGACGACGACGACGACTTTTTGGATTGCATTGCTGAGCATTGCTCGTCAAGGTCTTATCGACGCTTCGCCGTTGCCTTCGCCTTGAGACGAAGGCCTGTTTTGCTATTGAATTCCGCAGCAGCTGCAGAGCTCCCTGGCCAGATACCTTTAGCAATCTGCTCCAGGTTGTATCTGCCGTCCTTGGTGGCAGGACGGCACTCTTTGGCAAGGTTCCTGAGGGCTCCGCCCTCACGTGCACACATATAACCACAGTTGCTGCAATAGAAAATGGGGATGTCTTCATGGGCCACAACATTGTGCG